CAAAATCATTAAAAACAAAGAGTAAAGTTCCCCTGGGGAATTGCCGACACTTCTTCTGAATGAACTTCTTGTCCAAAACACAAACAAAATAAATTTTTACAGGGCTCCGGGGAAGCACTCTAATGGGGCAGCAATGAAGACCAGAGCATCCATCGCTGGTGCCAAAGTGTATGCCTGGGCAAACTGGGGAAATCAGGCAGAAAATTAACCCTTTGCTTCCGACTCAGGCTCATTCTCGTCAGTCCTGATGCGTGGCTCACTCTGCACAGAGTGTGAGGGAGGCCAGGATGGAAACGGGAGGCAGCACAGCCTCATCCTCCTTAGGGCCACTTTGATGTTGAATCGTTTTGTGACTAGACAATTAACACATCCACAGCTCTCCTGGGTCTGAAGGCTGTTGCTCCAGAAATAGGACAGAGATTTGTCACTAGGTTTACTTTAGAGGGGTGTGGGGAGAGGAGCAATGTAATCAGTTCACATACAATATTTCAGAAAGATGGGGAAAAGCCAAGTGTTCAGACACAGGCTACAACCGTGACAGGTGAGCAAACTGTTGGACGGTCAGAGTTCTGGACGGTCCGTTTTAGAGCTGGCCAGCAGGTCGCTGTGGGTCTATGGCATTACATTCATTCTAAGACTTTTTTCCCTTCCGTACCAGCTCTGAGACTGGGACTCATAATCTCAGGCCCCTTACAGCCACTTCCTCGGGAAAACAGTCATACAGTAGCTGTGGCCTGCACATGCTCCAGCGTCTAAAACACCACATTGAAACTTGCAGAGTGGCTGCGGCAACCGTGGAGCTCATGGCTGGGGAGGGGCGAGAGGAAAGTAAAATATGTGCTTGGCAGGCCTCTCAGAGCAGGAATAGAAAGAAGGCTAGCTTTCCAGAATTGCAAGCCCAGCCTAGGGGCCCAAAGCCAATGGCTTTTAGTTCTTGTGTGAATTATACTAATCGGGACTCAGGCATTGGAGGTCAGAGGAAGGGGTGAAGGAGCTGAGGGAATGAGTTTCCACCAGCCACCCCTTGAAATCTGGCCGAGTGAGAGGCCAGAATAGTCAGTGAAAACGCATGGGCAGTGTGGGCAGACAGAGGGGAATGGGTTCAAATCTGCCATCAGATTATAAGTACATGTTTTAAGTGTTTCAAGAATGTTTAATAATCTGCACACTGGGGAGATAGGGAGGTAGATAGGAAGCAAATCTGGAAGCAACTTACCTACTAGTAGAATGGAGAAATAAATTGCTACATATTCATAAAATAACATAGCAAAGAGGGGGAAGGAGCCAAAATATATACAAGAAACTCATGCACTTTGTATATAGCACGTTGAGCCGAAGAATTCAGACACAAACTATACTAAGGGTAAGATTATTTATATAAAGAGCAAAAACTGGGGAAACTAAACAATGTTATTTTAAGTTGGGATTGTGGTTTCCCTTAGGGAGGAGACCAGGTAAGGGCCAGGAGGGAATGTGAAGGAGGTGCCCGAGGGGCTGGGAATAGGCTTTTCTTGACGTGGGTGTTGGTTATCTGGGGGTGTTCATTGTGTGAAAATTAACTTAGCGCACACTTAGAATGTGTGTGCACCTTCTGCATGTATGTATGCTGTTTGTCAATGAAAAGGTTTTTTAAAAGGAATACTTCTTTGGTAGCTGAAATTGGAGAGAAGCAGGCTGGCTACAGGATCTGGAAGAAGGGGACTACATGGATTCAATAGCCTCCACTTTTTTTTTTTTTTTTTTTTTTTAGTGTATTTTATTGATTTTTTACAGAGAAAAAAGGAGAAGGATAGAGAGTTAGAAACATTGAAGAGAGAGAGACATCGATCAGCTACCTCCTACCAGGGATGTGCCCACAACCAAGGTACATGCCCTTGACGGGAATCGAACCTGGGACCTTTCAGTCTGCAGGCTGACACTCTATCCACTGAGCCAAACCAGTTTCGGCAATAGTCTCCACTTTCATCAGCCTGCCTAAAACACCGCCCCAAACAAACTACATATTGTTCGTCACTACAACTCAATGAAATTTTTAGCAAACAAAACAAAGAGTTCCTTTGAAGCAAATTTCACACACTTCAATCAGGGCTTAAAAGATATAGGTTTCCTTTTCTCCCATTGGTTTTACTGAGATATAATTGACACATATGTTTTCCATTGATTTTTTAGAAAGAGTGAAGAGAGGAAGAAAGGGAAAGAGGGAGAAAGAAATGATGAGAGAAGAAGACATCGATTGTTTGCCTCCTACATGCGCCTTACCCAGGATGCCAGAGATCATGCTTACAACTCAGGTAAGTGCCCTTGACCAGAAATTGAACCTGTGACCCTTCGGTGTATGGGCCAATGCTCCAACCACTGAGCAACACCAGCCAGGGCCAGCTTTTTTTTTTTTTTTTTTTTTTTTAAGGAAGAGTTGAAGCATATGCATTGTATGTGCACGCACACACACACACACACACACACACACACACACACTGCACTCAACAGCCTCTGGTAGCCATCCTTTGTAGTCTAGACTATACCATAGCTCTGATGCAATCATTCCATTTGCCCATTTTGTGATCCCCAGTCTCTCCCCCAACCAGTCTTTCTCCCCCTTCCTCCCACACTTTGTGAGCCAAATTTAACAAAAAGTGGTTATTTATTTTTTTTAACACTGACCGAACACCTGCATGACCCAAGACTGTGCTACCTGTTTGATGTAATTTGACAGCAACTGTATGAGACCAGGATCATGACCATTTCACAGACAAAGAAGCTGAGGCTCAGAGAGGTCTTGGGGTTATCCAAGGTCACCGACTAGGCAGCAAGTGGTAGAGCTGTTGGTAATAACTGTAATCTTGATTTTCCGTTACCTATTACCACATAGGGAGCCACCCCAAAACAATGGCTTAAAGTAAGAACAATCATTTGCTTTGCTCAGTCTGGGGGTTAACTGGGCTTGGCTAAGCAGTCCTTGCTCAGAGTGATGCAGTGTCTGCATTCATCCCCAAGGCCTCCTCACTAAGAGTCCAGAGTCCCCCAATATCTCTCTGGTCTCCCCACATGGAATCTCCTGCACACAGCAACCTCAGGATGGCAGGATTCCTCCATGGGGCTGTGTGTTCGTGAGACACTGGCAAAAGCCTAGGAAGCCCTCAGCATCACATCTGCCACATTCTGTTCATCGTGACAATCACAAAGTTCTGCGTAGGTTTACAGGGAGGGGACCTAGATTCTACCTCTTGATGGGAGGAGTGTCCAAGAATTTGCATGTTTTAAAACTACCACAACCTATGCTTTATTATAGTGGATGATGACAATAATTACTGTCCCAACATTTCACTTTCTTCCCCACTTATAACAATGGAATACACTTCCCTACCTTCTGGTCCTCAGTTTGGCCATCCGACTCAGTTCGGTCATTGGGGAGTTAGCCCAGTGATGTATGCACACGGTTGGAACAGACTTGTACAGTCTGGTTTGCTCTCCTTACCACTGCCATGGAAAATCATACCTGGCAAAGCCAGCCTGCTGGTCTGAGGAGGAGGAAGAAGGGATGAGACATGGAAGGAGCAGAGCCCAGTCAGCTCTACAGTCAACCTGTAGATCCATGAGAATCAATCAGCATTACCTTAAGACACAGACTGTTGAAACAGCTTGTGGCTCAGTGTTTTCAACACTGGATGTAAATGGTACACTGGCACTCAAAACAAAAAACAAACCAAAAAAAAGACATTAGATCCAACTTCAGAAAGAATATTTGAGAGATGTGAGAAAGCCATATGTTTAATCATACATGAGTGCTACTCAAGATGAAGAAAACATAAATAGGAGACAATTTATGTCAGCCACGCTGGCTAATGACTGTTCAGCAAATTTTTCAAGGTTCTGTACCCCTGAGCCCCACAGAAGTGATTTCTCCAGACTCGCATCGAAGCCACTGCCTGAGTCCCGCTCAGACCTAGCTGCCTCGAAGCAGCTCACTGATGTCAGTTCATTGTGATGCCTGAGTCCCAGAGGGGGTGTGGTGCGTGGGCTCACTGTGTCCTGTGTGCTGTGTGGGCATGAACAGGGGAGAGCATCTCTGAATGAGTCTCTGTAATGAGGCTCTGTAATGAAAACAATCAAAACTCATCAGTCAGTTGTCTTGAGCTCTGGTACTCGCTATTTCTTTTTTTAAAAAGGAGAAGAGAAAAATAAATTTTTACTTGCCCTTTATTAAACTTTCTTTACAAAAATGATTGCTTCTGCATTTCTGATTTCCATCGCTTATGGAACTGGCTTCCGTTCCACCACCCCAATTGCCTCCCCAAGAGACATGGGAAGTCGTTCAATGAGAAGACACTGGAATCAAAATGAGAACAATTTGAAGCCAGAAAGAGTGTGAGAGTACTCCCAATCCAACTCATCTGATACCCCGAGAGAGGCAAGACTGGAGCCCAGAGAGGGCAGGTGACCTCCTGGTGGTCACACTGTGAGACTCAGCACCAGCTTGAAATGGAGCTCAGGTCTACCTCCAGGCGTTTCCCTGGGAACTAGTGAAGTCCATGGAATCACAGCAACCATGGTGTTGCATTCTGTGAATTTCAGTTTATTCAGCTCTAAATGGGCAAACTCTGGATTGAAAGGATTCAAAGTCCTTCCACCTCTGACTTTTTATTTTATTCTACTAGAGGCCTGGTACACAAAATTCATGCATGGGGGGGGGGGGGTCCCTCAGCCCAGGCTGCACCTTCTCCAATTTGGGACCCCTCAAGGGATGTCCAACTGGCAGCCCATATAGGCTCGATTGTGGTAGGATCAGGCCTATATGGGCAGTTGGAAATCCCTCTCACAATACAGGACTGCTGGCTCCCAACTGCTCTCCTGCCTGCCTTCCTGATTGCCCCTAACTGCTTCTGCCTGCCAGCCTGATCACCCCCTAACCACTCCCTGCCAGCCTGATAGATGCTTATCTGCTCCCCTGCCAGCCTGACTGTCCCTAATTGCCCTCCCCTGCAGGCCTGTTCATCCCTAACTACCCTCTCCTATAGGCTTGATTGCCCCCAGCTGCCCGCCCCTGCTGGTCATCTTGTGGTGGCCATCTTGTGTCCACATGGGGGCACCCATCTTTGACCACATGGGGCAGCTATCTTGTGTGTTGGAGTGACAGTCAATTTACTCTTTTATTAGATAGGATGGGAAGAGCTCAGAGACACTATACTACTCTCAGTAAGACATTTGGGGTCAAACAAACCTATTCTCACTTCCCAGTTCTATCGTGAACTTGTGCCCTCACTGGCTAAAATCCTGACTAATATATGTGGCTCCCTGCAAATAGGCAAGAACATCTCCAGAAAAATCTACCATTACCCCGCTGAACCTCCTCATGCTACAAAACAACAATAAAAGCCACTTTGAGGCGAGGCCCTTTCTGATCAGTTCTTTTAAGGGAAAACCTTTCCTCTGCAGGAAATGTTCCAGAGGCTGCCAGCCAGACCATGGAAAAGCCCTTCACAGCTGCCCCAGGGGCCAGCAGCCCTCCATCACAGGATTCTCCTGATGGCTCACTCTGACCCCAGTGCTGCGGCCCTCCAGGTCCCACCCCCATCCAAAGTCTGCAGTCACATCCCCAAGGCCTGCCTTCCCCACCCCATATCCCAGGCTGCCTGCAAACAGCCGCCTGGGCTTTGGGAGGCTCCAGCTGTTTTTCAATAGTTAACTAAACAGCCATTTAATCACACTGCGGGGCTACATAAATAGTGTGCTCCACAACATGGTAAAAAGCAGGTTTTTTAGGAGGTGACAAATGTTTCTTGTGATTAAGCAAATCTCAGGTCTGAAAGAAATGTGTGTGTGTTTTCCCCAAAGGAAAGTAAGAGAGGATCTGCCGGTGTCGCCTGTGAGGACTCCATGACATGCGGGCTTCCTTCCTGCTGTCAGTTCTCTCCAAAACCCAGCATGTGGGCCCCCTTAGGGACAAGTTCCTCAGCCAGGGACTTGACCCCTCTGGGAGCAGAAAACTGGAAAAACAAATGGTGATAGCAGGTAGGTGGGACATGCTTTACTATGAACAAAGCAGCCAAACACTCACTGGTCAGCGGCAACTTATATACACGCTCAAACAAAAGAAGCCTCATGCCAATTAGTGACGTCCATGCTACATTAACAGGCAGGTTATATATGAGTGTGCTTGCCGGTACGGATATTGCTACAGCTGAGTCATTGCCCTCCTGCATGAGTAGGGCACAGGGGCCTTAAACCTCTAACATACTCTGGTCAGTTGATTCCTACTTTGTTTTTGTTTTGTTTTTTAAGTTTTAATCATTTGTCTGAAGTCTGCCTTTTTTACCTTTATTGTTGAAAGTATTGCATAGGTCCTCTTTTTCCCTCATTAACCTCTTCCAGCCTGCTCCCATGCCCCCCCCCCCCCCCAGCCCTCACCACCCCATTTCTGTGTCCACAGGTCATGCATAAAGCAAGGGTCCCATCTCAGATGTCTGGCAACCCTGAGGGTCCCAGGTGGAAAGAGCCCAGTGTCTGCAGGGTCCTCAGAATCCTCCAGCTCGGGCCCATCACACCAAGCACTCTCAGTTGGGCCTTGGGCAGATGAAAGCCCAGAAAACAAGAGTCAGGAGAAGACCTGAGCAAAGGCATGTTCCTGGGACACCAAGGACTGGTAGGACTGCTCTCACAAGGAGGAGAAATAAATCCCATCTCCAAGGAAGAGGGATTTATTTTGCAGCCTCCTCTTATAAAGCAGTCTGTCGAGAGATTTTCCCTAAAGGACTCAGGAAAGTTGGGAAGTTTCAGTTGTATAAATCAAGTCCACCCTTTGACCCTTCAGGCAGGCATTCGTGGAAGAGGAAAGATATCCCTAATTTTTGTGATAAGTTAAAATGCAAGGTGGAAAATAGATTCTGTGGGCAACTAAAAAAAAGAGAGGTAGAATATGCACATTGGGGCCCATGAGTACATCCTAGAAGGACACACAAGAAGCCAGTAACTGTGTGTGACTTCCAGTCCTATAAACTCAAGGAACTAAATTAGGCTACACTCAAATGAGCTCAGAGCAGACCCTTCCCTCAACCCCCCAGATGAGAGCCCAGCCAGGCCAGCACCTTGGTTTCAGGCTGTGACATGAGATAAAAAATCGGAGAAGGGGGTCAGGAGAAGTATGAAAATCTGAATATTCTCTGTATACTTCTTTGTAATATTTGGATTTGTTTTCCATGTGCATTTTTTTTTCAAAAAAATTAAAGGAGTTTGTTTATTCACTCAACAACTGTAGAGTATACAGTGGATGTCAAGCATTGAGAGAATGAGAAAAAGCAAAACCAGGCAAGGTCCTGACTGATGCCTGCCCTCAGGAGCAGGCTGGTACTGGGAGGTGCATAGGTCAGCCACATAACTTGCCCTTCTGAGGAAAGTGACACCTAACTGAACATCACAACAGCAATGAAAATGACACTATCCTGGGCAAACCAAGATTTGGTTGGCCCAGTTGGGTTAATACCCATCCACAGTCCAGAGCACTGGGAGAAAAAGAAGCATAAAAACTGTGGGAGAAGATGACAAATGAACCAGGCAGCTTCATGGAGGAGGTGGGATTTAGATGGTAGATTCAGGAGGGCAACATTAAGGCCCCAAGAAGAGTCTAGCCCCATACCCCAGGACTACGGATATGATGATATATCACACCCATGAATGCATTGCCTGTCTTAGCTCATGCTACTATAACAAAACACTGTAGACTTGATATCTTAGACAACAGGCATTTATTTCTCTGGTTCTGGATCTGCAAGTCTGAGATCAGGGTATGGCTTGGTCAGGTTCTGGTGAGAGCACTTGGCTTGTAGTTGGCACCTTCTTGCTATATCTTCACATGATGAATAAAGAGTGCATATGAATTGGGTGGGGGAGGGCATAATTATTCAGTCCACAGCATTACCTTACATGGCAAAAGGGACTTTGCAGATGTAATTGAAGTGACTAATCATTTGACATTAAGATGAGAGATTATCCTGGATTGTCTGAGTGGGCCTTGTGTAATCACTCAAGTCCTCTGAAGTAGAGGCAGAGGAGTTCAGAGACATTTGAAGCCTGAGAAAGGGCCCTACATGCCATTGCTGGCTTTGCAAGTGGAGGAAACACATGATCAGTGGGTGGCTTACAGGAGCTGAAAGAGCATCCTTGGTTCATAACCAAGGAGGGAACAGGGACCTCAGTCCCATAAACTTGAGGAACTAAATTAGGCTACAACTCAAATGAGCTCCGAGCAGATTCTTCCCTCAACCTCTCAGAGGAGAGCCCAGCCAGGCCAGCACCTTGGTTTCAGGCTGTGTCATGAGATCAAAGCAGAAAACCCGGCTGAACCTAAACCTGACTTCTGACCTGCAACAACTGTGAGACGAAGAACACGTGCTGTTTTAAGGGGCTGTGTGGTAATTTGTTACACAGAAATGGAAAAACTAACACAGGGTATTTGAGTTAGGGAGAAGAGTAAGATTCGCTAAGGGGCAGCTGTGGTCATGAATGTAAACACCTATGGGGCCCAGCAAAGCAGATCCAGGTAGAGAACAGCGGTAAGCTCAATTAGGGAGGGCCACCCTGGCCCAGGCTGGGAGTCAAAGAGGCAGCATGGAAGGTGTGGGTGGGCCTGAATGCAGTGTTCCCCAAACTATTGCCTGGCAAGACTATGAGCTAGGAATGGCCAAATAATTCCTTTTTTTTTTTTTTTTCAAGAAAACCCAGAAATTCCAATTCTCACATAAAATATCCTCATCCAAACTTTATAAACACTCTGCGGGCAGACCAACTAACACAGGGATGTGGGTTTTGAGTTATATGTCACCTTCTAGGGCATCAACTGAGTGTCAGAGACAAGGCAAAAGGTCTCCAGAACGCTGTGAAAGCCGAGTGTGGCTTTTTTGGGAGACAGTAGGGAGCCAGTGAAAGTCCTCCCTTTCTCTCATCCAAATAGTGAAAGGAATTCACATTCATGGAAAACCCATGGACTCCAGATGTGACCTATTTGGAGCTCCCAACAACTTGATGTTATAAGGGCTGCTGGCCCCATTTCCAGGCAAGGCAGCTAAGGTGCTGAGTGTTTCAACCATGGCCTGTGATTACACGGATATGAAGTGCTGACACTGGGCTAAAAACTACATTTGCTTCTACAATCCACTCCACGTGGCATCCCCCATCAAGCAATTTCATCCTTTTCATTGAAAAGGAGTTTGCTGTTGTGTTTCACAAGGTCAGCCTTCTTCTCCCTCAATTAACCAGCTCTCTCTCCTTATTCAAGGCCTCTGTTCTTCCTTCTCTTCAGCTTTTACCATGGTAGCTGTCCATCCATCCCCACAGCACCTCCCTCACCCCCTCCTACATCCCAGCCTTTCAGACTCCAACCCCACTGCTCATGTAGCTCAGCCCCTCAACTTCCAAATTCCTGAGAAAGGAATCTAATTGGTCCGGGTCGTGTTCAGCATCCTGATACTCATAAACATGGCTTGAATAGAGTCTCTGCGCCAAAGCAAGCATTCACACCACCATGGATCACCTACAGAATGACCCAGGTGAGCAAAGAAACCAGGGAGCTCCATGTCCCCACTCACAAACCTTCAGCGATGTCTTGCCACGAAGATGAATGCCAATTGAACAAAAGGTCTCTTCCTTTCCCACTAAGACACATGTGTCAAACACAAGGCCCGCGGGCCAAATCCGTCCCGCCAGGCCTTGCAATGTGGCCCGCACCGCGCTGTCATCACTGCACTCCGCTGCGTTTCCATCACAATGACAGTTTATGACTGTTCAGTAAACCATTCGGCCCGCGATTTAGGCTGGATTTTAGATTTTGGCCCCTTCTCTGATTGAGTTCGACACCCCTACACTAAGAGATTGAGATTGTGTTAGCAGTGAGCCCTCCCTCTGCCTCCTTCTGACTTGGAGAACTCAGGAAGGCCTCTGCAGAGCTACCCAAATCAGTAAGGGGGTAGAAAGGCAGGCGTATAATGAGGTCAGAGGATCCTTGTGCTGAAGGGGTAGGATTTTAAGTCCTCTTTATGAAGCCTTCATTTTGAATGGAGAGCAGCAGATTTTTAAAACAGTCTTGTTGAGCTTATATTGGCACTTAATAAACTGCCTATGTGTATGTAGTGTACAGTTTGCTGTTTGGCCTATGTATACCTTTGAAACCATGACCACAATCAAGATAATGAATCTACCCATCACCTCAAGACTATTCATGGCCATTTGTAAACCCCCTCTCCCTTCCCACTTCCCATCCTCCTTTCTTGGCAACCACTGATCTTTTTCCTGTCACTAGAGTTTGCATTTTCTACTATGTTACTTAAATAGAATCATATTGTATGTACTTGATTTTCTCTGACTTCTTTTAGCATAATTATTTTGGCATTCTATTGTGTTGTTGTGCACATATCAGTAATTCATTCCTTTTTGTTTCTGAGTAGTAGTCTATGGTATGACATAACACAATTTGTTCATTCATTCACCTGTGATGGACATTTGGTTTATTCCCAGTTTGGGACGATGATAACATGAACATATTTTTTGTACTCGTACCTTTTCCTCTTGGGGAAAATATCTGAGAATGGAATAGCTGGATCATTGGTAGGCATGTGTTTGAGCATGACCAATTTAATAAAACTTCCTTGTGGGTTTCAGAGTGCCTGTGCTGTATATGTTTAGCCTACCAAATAAAGGTACACACAGATCACACAGGAACAAATGACACTCATACTCAACCATGAGGAAGTTACATCAGAAGACAGCTTCATTCCAGTTCTCCCAGTATGTAGAGAGGGCTTCCAGAGGGGAACATCTCCCAAGATGACCTTCAGTTTTGTAAAATATTCAGTGCACAAACTCCTGACACTTTAGAAATGACTCACAAGAGGATTATGTAATCTCTCTCCAAGAGACCCTAAAATAAGGACAACTGGTCTGGAATAGAACAGTTTCAATCAATACTGAAAGCTGTGGCACGAATCAGAGCAGGGGATTTTCAAGGATGTACCCATCAGTATCACCTGGGAACTTATTAGACATGGACCTTCTCCCCAGCCCAGACCTTCAGAGTTGAAACTCTGATTGGGGCCCAGCACTCTGGGTTTTCACTAGCCCTCCAGGTGATCTGATGCATGCTCTAGTTTAAGAAACAGTGACCTAGAATAACATTCAAGCCCTTCGACTCACTCAGAATTAAATACATCAGAAGTCATGATACACCATCACCTCTATTGCCTTGTTCCACCCACACAGCTGAGGAGCCCACCCTCTTAGAATTCTGCAGCCCCCTTAGAATTCCGCCAATCTCCTCAAAGACCAAGTTAGCAACTGGAATGCAAACATACTCCATGATGGTCATCACTATTTCCCCAAAACACTAAAATGAGAGGGGGAAAAATGCTCAGGAATCAGGAACTCAATCATTGAACCATTTATATCCAACTGTCACCCTGGTTCAGTTGGTTGGAGCATCATCTCATACACCAAAGGCTGTGGGTTCAATTCCCAGTTAGGGCACATACCCATATTGCAGTTTTGATTCTCAGTTGGGGTGAGTACGGGAGACAACCAATCCTCTCTCTCTCACATAGATTTCTCTCTCTCTCTCTCTCTCTCTCTCTCTCTCTCTCTCTCTCTCTCTCTCTCTCTCTCTCTCATCGATTTAAAAACATATCCTTAGGTGAGGATTTTTTTTTAATCCAGCTATCAAAACAACCCATTTCTCTACATGTGGCTTTTACCCTACCATATTTCAACATAAATGAATCTAAGAAAAGAAAAAGACGAAGATTTTAGGTGATACACCACTCCAACACTCTTTACTGCTCTAGAACCCTCACTGCAATTTTACATATTAGCAGGAAAATTAATCAAATTTGAATAGGAAGAATTAGAGTAAAAATATTGGATACTTTTTCTTTTAATCTTCAGTTTAAGCATGATTTCCGTTCAACATTTTAGCTGAAGAGAAGTTCCAATCATTTCCTTGGTATTTTTTTTTTTCATGCTTAACATTTAGCCCAGTCTTTGAAAACCTTCTCCAGCTTTTGGCCAAGCAGAACTTTGCCACTTACTTTGAACTTGCCGGCAAGGAAAGCCTTGTGAGGGTTTATTTTACCCAAAACCAATTCCATAAAGACAGGTTCCGGGATTGTGAAGACAGTGTCTGCTGGGAGCCTGGCAGATCCTGGGTACATGTCCCCAGAGCCGTTCTTCAGATCAATGGTCCTCTGCAGGATGGTCTTCCCGTCTTTGGTGATGTCAAGCTGGAAGATGGCATTCACTTTCTTCACCATTTGGGCCCCTGCTTCTTTGATGTGGTGGCTAATGTCCTCAAACACCAGGAAGCTCTGCAGTTCTGGCAGCTCAGGAGGGTGTGGCACGGTAGGTTCCAGAGCTGAATCCGGTTCCTTGAACTGACCCACTTGAGGTCCATCCCTTGTTTTGATCTTGGGTTGATGGCCAGTTCTCTTCCACATCTTACTGTGCTGGTCCTCTTGACCTTGTCATCTGGCTTGGGAGCAGCAGTGGCCAGATTAATATCTGCAGGTCAGATTGTGACATCAAAGGTAAGGCCCAAGCAGGGAATGAAGCTGTATTATGTGTGTTGAGGCAGTATTGTTGGCTAATCAGATGCTACCCTGTGACATGGAGTGAGGGCTCAGACAGGTAATTATGAGGCAGATCCATACCACCAGCCCCTAAACCAATCTGCTATTGGTCTCACAAGCTCAGAAGGGCCTGGACCACAGGTTGGGAATAAGGGAAACTGACCCCCGAAGGTTCTTTGGTGACAAGAGCTCTGTCTTTAGAATGCAGGTATCTCCTAGTAGCAACCTTAGCTGAGAGAGCAGTTATTCTGATTCCTTCAAAAGTGGATAATCCTTAAGCAATAGATTGTGGTGCCAGGTTTGGCTTTAGCTGACTGCCGGTGGAGGGGGAAATGCTTTTAGAGCAAAATAGCTGGTTGGAGAAGGCATCAGCACAGGGCCTGCATCAATCAGATAGCTTCCAGAAGCACGGTGAGAATGAGGAAAAAATAAAAAAGAAATATCCTTAAGATGATTAGAAGATTCTGCTGGTCTAACATAATAATTGCAGGTAATAATATAGTCCTTACTCTGGCATTGTTCCAGGCACTGTACATGTATTAGCATTTTGTTATTATAAAACTCATCTAAGGATATATCTTCCATTTATTTTTAAAGAAAATAGAAGGGAAGGAGAGGGGGAGATGGGGAGAGAGAAAGAGAGAGAGAGAGAGAGAGAGAGAGAGAGAGAGAGAGAGGTAAGAGAGACATATTTATTGTATTTATTGTATCTATTGGTTGCCTCCCACATCCCCAACTGGGACAGGGATTGAACTGAAACCCAGGTACATGCCCTTGACCGGAATTTAGCCAAGACCCTTTAGTATGAGGGTCAGTGCACTTACCACTGAACACACTGACCACAACTGTATTAACATTTTTAAATCTTCATTGTGGTGCTTTGAGGAAGGTACTACCTTTTGTCCCCATTTTACAAAGAAGAAAACTGAGGCAAGGAGAAATTATTTGCCCAAAGCCACACAGCTAGTAAGTAGGGTAGCAATGTCTAAACGGCAGAAGTATCACTCTAGAACCCACTTTCAGTATGTCTGATGCTTTCTTGTGATTAGAATGAGGAGTTTGGGGCAGAAATATCATTAAATTGCTGTTGTGCCCTTCTCAGTGCAATATATCAGGGGGATGGGGGGCAATATGTCCCATTGCTGGTTATGTTGACCTTGATCACTTGACAAGGTGGTATCTACTAGATTTTTCCACTGTAATTCTTCCTTTGTAATAAGTATCTTGTGAGGATACCTTTTGAGACTTTGCAAATATCCTGTTTCATATCATACTTCAGCCCGATCTCTTCTGTATCCACCCATGGTCCATCCGTGTGATGTGTGCTAAATGGTCATTTTCTATTCCTATCACTCTCTTCCGTTTTCATGATTGGAATTCTTCTACTTAAGAAAGAGCTGCCCCTTATCCTCCATTTTTTTGTTTGTTCAATTATGTGTTTGTTTCAATATGAACTTGTGGATATTTGTTTTATTCTGTGGGTCATAATTTATTATCATCATTATTTGTTTTCTTGCAAATTGCCCCAGATTTGGTCATTGGAAGCTCCATCCAGCTGGTGCCTGTGTCCTTCCCTAGCCAGACTGCTATTATAAGAAGTGAAGATACATTAAGTAGAGTTGCTGATAGCTTTGTTCTGTCTGGGAGGAATGCAGAAAATTAAAAATAAATAAATAAAGAGGCTTTGGCACATCTTCTTTGGCACATGATGGATGAGCTGGTATTATCAATAAGAAGCAGTTAAACAAAACCCAGGGGCCTCCAAAACCAAGTCTATTCTGAGAGCACCAGTATCTGCATAGAAAATTTAAAGTCAAGAGGTCAGAGCCCTAGCTGGTTGCTCAATGGTTAGAGCATCAGCCCTCAGCCCAAAGGGTCGAGGGTTCAATTCCCATTCTAGGGCACATACCTTGGTTTCAGGCTCCCTAGACCTGGTTGGGCACTTGTAGGAGGCAACCAATCAATGTATGTGTCTCTTTCTCTCTCCCCCTCCTCCCTCCCTTCCACTCTCTCTAGAGAAAATATCCTGGGTGAGGATTTAAAAAGAAGAAGAAGAAGCAACTTCCCAGTACGTTCACTGTGAGCAACCCACAGAAAAATGGGCCCCATCGCCACCCATATCTGTTTTTCCTCAAGGGAGGGTTTGGCCCTTCCAAATTATTCAAATAGGCCCCCAACTGAGCTGCCACTCTGCCTTAGACTGTAAGAGGGGAGCACAGCTCCATAATCCATACATGTCGTCTTCATGTTTCTACCTTTTATCAGTGGTATTTCCACCTTAAAAAGGAATCCCAGTACAGAAGGCTACTATGCACATGGAAAGGTCCTCAACCTCATTAGTCACTGGGGACATGCAAATTAAAACTACAGTGACTCATCACACACAAATAGTTTTCTAGACTTCAAATCATTGTGTTGTGCACCTGAACCTAATAATGTTATATGTCAATTATACCCCAACTTAAAAAAAAGATGTTGAATTATTTTGAGGTGAAGAGAAATAGAACCAACTGGTGATCCCTATCTCCAGACTTTTCTCTCATGTCCCTGCAGGAGCCCAGCTGAAGGAAGCTTTATACTCCCCTCCTGAACATTTTTCAGCTTCCCAAATCAAGGCTTTTGTATCCTATCCTCTAATTCTATCCAAAATTCTGTTTTTAGTTTTTATTTTTTTAAAGATATATTTTTATTGATTTTTTACAGAAAGGAAGAGAGAGAGAGATCGTTAGAAACATCGATGAGAGAGAGACATCAATCAGCTGCCTCTTGCACACCCCCTACCGGAGATATGCCCGCAACCAAGGTACATGCCCTTGTCTGGAATCGAACCCGGGACCTTTCAGTCCTCAGGCCAACGCTCTATCCACTGAGCAAAACCAGTCTTGGCCAAAACTCTGTGTTTTTTTTTTTGGTTTTTGTTTGTTTGTTTGTTTTTAATATATTTTATTGATATTTCACAGAGAGGAGGAAGGAAGAGAGATAGAGAGCTAGAAACGTCGATGAGAGAGAAGCATCGACCAGCTGCCTCCTTCACACCCCCCACCGGGGATGTGCCCGCAACCAATGTACATGCCCTTGACCGGAATCGAACCTGGGACCTTTCAGTCCGCAGACTGATGCTCTACCACTGAGCCAAACCGGCTTCGGCAAAACTCTGTTTTTAATTCAAATCTCAGTTTAAGCTGCATCAGCCTCTTATGAAGTCCCCCGCCCACCACCACCATGTAGTAGAATCGACACAAACATCTACTTGGATATGCTTGTATCCAAGAATTCTTGGGGGTCAGACACACGCTAAACTGGGGACAGGTGCACAGGTGCAGCTCAAAACAAGCAAGGGACAGTCTCCGAAAGCACTAAAGGTCTGATAAACAGCATTTCTCTCCTCTCCTTGAATTCTAAAGAAATTGAGAAACAGGATAAGAAATGGCAGATAGAAACCAACATTTTGCCTTTATCACTGATAGAAGCATAGATCACAGAAAAGACTTATATGAGACCCCCAATGGGCCTGCCAACTAAATCCCACAATGCAAAGCAGAGTTACCCATCTACCTCTCAGCCACACTCCTGGGAGGGTTCTACGTGTGAAGCTGGTCAGGAGAGCCCTCACAGGGAATATCCTGGGCACAAAGAGGCTCACTTTATACCTCCCAGATTCACCACTCAAAAAGGTCACCTCAACGAAGTGAGTGAAGTGGTGAAGAGAGCCCAGGAGTGGTTTGGGGAGAAATCACTTGGAAGGAAAATCCCCCCCCCCCCCTTGAAGAAACCAGAGAATGGAGAAGGCCCTGTCCTCTAGCAAAGCTAGTTCTAGTGGGGTGGGGTGGGGTGGGGTGGGGTGAGAGGGTAAACTCGGGGAGCCTGCTCAGAGAACACGATTTTGCCTAATAGTCTCTTTTTGTGCTTCAGTTTCTTCTTTTTCCCCCCTTCAAGTTTGTTTATTTTGGTTTTGGGTGTTGTGTTTTGTGGGGTTTTTTGTTTTGTTTTTTCTTTTTAAATATATTTTCATTGTTAATAGTATCACAGATATCTCCCACCCACCCCCTTTACTCCCTCCCCCCAGACCCTACGCACCGCCCCCACCCCCACCCCAGGTCTTCACTGCCCTATTGCCTGTGTCTGTGGTCCCCTCGGGTTTTGTTGGGGTTTTTATAACTCAAACCAGGGTTTCTCCCAGCTGCCCTCCCTCCCTCCCAAGCCTCTCTGCCCTGGTGGAATGAACACTCCCCTGCCAGTACAGGTGATAAATAATGACTCTGCTTCAATGGTTAGCTTTGTGGCCTATAAACAAAGAGAATATTTAACAATGTGGGTGTCAAAACAGGCTGGCTTGAGTTTGATAAAACAACCTAGGCAGCAATAACTCATTTTCCCCAGAGGGAACAGGGTGAGAGGCTGTCAGAATCAAATGGGCAGCAGAAACTAGAAGTTTAGACAGAAAAGATTCTGTAAATAAGAAACTTGAAAATAAGCACTGAGATCAGCTCTGTCCATTAGAATTTTCTAAGATAATGAAAATGTTCTGTACCTGTGCTGTCCAGCGCTATAACCAATAGGCACTGTTGAGCACTCATTATACGGCTAGTATGATGAGGAACTGAATTAACTTTATTTAGTTGTAGTAAAGTTAAATAGTCACTTATGATTTTCCATCAACATCCTTCTAACCACCATAAGGAAGTTACATGGGCATCTAGGGGATGTTGCTTCCATCTTTAATCACCGAATTTCATCAAGCTCATATAAAGATCTATTTCTAAAACCCCCCATTAATGCACTTGAGACTATTATACATGTGGAACAGAGACCAGCTCCCATTGGTGGGATGTGGTCCATGTGTGAGGGCACTCCATTTTGGGACAAAGCTAAAAGCCTAAAGATATACATTATTACTTAAAATAATACTGTTACATTTATCTTTGAATAGGACATAAGCATGTCCAAGTGGGTGATTAGTGGATAACTTCTAAGTTAAA